TTAACGGTTACAGTTATGAACGAATGTTTGACATCTCTACCAAGTACTCCAGCAAAATCACTGCTGAGAGTTCCCTGGCGGCGCTGCTACCTAAAGTGTCAAGATTTCCTCACAACTGGTTCACTCAGAAGGTACTGGTGAAACGCCCCCACCCCTTCCAATAACCAACTGGCTACTGCCTTCACTCTCTTGCACTCTTGGCTACTTTAAGTGCCATCTGAGGTACCAATGATCCATCTTCCTGAAGGTAAAGACCTTCCTCAAGGTTTGAACCCACTTATAGAGCACATGACTGGACCCAAACCCCCCGGTGTTTTTACCCTGACACCAAGGCCCCGATCCTGCGATTAGCTTTCTCCAGGCACTGCTTTGACTTCAATAGGTCTCATCCACCTCCTGTAGCAGGACTGGAGCCCAAGTTTCCTCAGACAAGGCTAAGTACAAAGTGCACATTTATTCAAAACTATCCAAATGCTCGGCTTGATCTTCTAAAGCAAAGCTTCTGTCAGGTTATCTGTGAGCAACTCATCCCACAAGCTGAAAACCACCTTTCTATTTTCTTCTTCAGCTCATTCCTGGGCTAGGACAAGCATAAAAACATTCAGTTTAGAATCAACAAATTGGCAGACTTTTTTAAAATTAGCACTTTGCATTTTCCACGAACGTGACATTTTAGCCTTCACTGTGGCATTGCTACTGTGAAGCTAATACACGTGCAGAGATGCATAGAGTGAAGTCATTTATTATACGGCGAGATATGGTAAATAGCGAGATTTGACAAGGTGCTTCATTTTCATTTGTGTTGTAGTCTCACCGATAGCAATGTCCGTGTAAGACATCTGTTGGAAGGCTATAACATTAGTGTAAATGGAAAAATTCCAAGGAGAACACAGGGTTTGCTCTCTTTTTCCCATGAACTTAACTTTATGGAATTTTAACAGCTGTTCTACTTGGTCATAGTTAATAAAATGAATTATGCAGGAATTAAAACTGGCTCAATTTTCTTGTGTTGTGTGTCAGCAGAAGCAGTACATTTGGAGACCTTATCACAGCTATTTTCTCTTGCCTTGCTGTAAGATCGTTGGAGAGTTTTTACAAACACTCTTTTCGATATTGGAGAAAGTGTAGCATTCACACCTGCTCTAATTAGCGTGATCTAATCTCTACAAAATGGTGCACTGCAACCCTAGAAAGTGTCTTTCTTACTTGGAATGGACAGTGTGAGAATTCCATGTCTTCTCTCAGGCCAGATCTACACCAGACCTGGAAGTTCAGCTCAAGATATTTTACGTAGCTGGAGTCGGCTTACCGTAAACTGAGCTTGGCGCCGTCCTCACAGTGGGAGGGCAATGGAAGCAAATGCTCCCGTCATCTTCCCTTACTCCTGAGAAGAGCAGGAGTACTGGCTACCGGCAGCCTTCTGGATTTGATTTGGCGAGTCTTAACTAGACTCACTAAATCGACCTCCAGAAGATGCATCGCGGCAGCGTCGCTCTTCCATGGCGTGAAGATGTGGTCTCAACGTTCTATGTCCTGCCACTTATCCAGACAGGAAAGTCTTCTTGAAGTGTCAAATACCCCCAGTATGCCCTAGCACAGCAGCTCTTTCTGTGGGGCATGAACGTGTGCCTTTCAGGCTGGCATTCATGATGCTAGTGACGTGGGGGGGGGACGACACATGCATCACTTCAGAGCATCTTATCTCCCTTGAGTTTGGGGGTTAGCTCAAAGGCAGACAGAAGCAAAACGGAGGACAATGTAGGTCCCAATAGGAAATGGGCTTTGAGAAGGAAGAACCACTAACAAGGGAATGAGAAATGTATAGAAATCAAAAGAGAAGGGAAATACACACAGTAGCCATCTGCCCCTAGTTAGGAGAGTGTCTTAAGCAATGGCTTGGTCCTCCACTCTGTTTCCCCACTGAAGCTAATCAGTTTGTTAGACCCTATAAAAAACATCCAATGCTGAAGCTCATACACTAACCCCCCCCTTCTTCTGTATCTAAAATAGACTTGTGCAAGCATGCAAAGAGACTCCATAAACCTCAGATTCAATGAGAATTACGTATCCCTGTGAGCATGCAATACAGGGAACACATGGACGTATCCAATAATGAATTAACATAGACCAGTGGTTCCCAAAATGTGGCCCGCAGACCCATAGTGGTCCACTACAGTACTGCAGGGGATCTGTGGAACGTTTTAAAATAAGGATTGGGCCCACTGTAGCCACTCTTCTTTTCTTTCCCGGGAGTGGGGGGGGGGGGGGGGGAGAGAGGATCCATGATATTTTAATAGACTGAAAAGGGATCCATATGCTCAAAAAGGTTGGAAACCACTGACAGGCTTTTACAGAAGGATAAAGGCCTTCTGCATTTCTTCCTTCCTTAAGCATTCTACAAGTTAAATGGAGGAGGGAGACACCCAGAACAAACTTCAGCTTTGCAGCTGTTCCAGCTAAGAGTTCAATATGACTGTTTTACTCAACAACCAAATGGACATTTCACTGCAATACGCGGCATTTAGTGTCACAAAATGTGATGGCCCTAACACGGTGCTAAATGGAAAGGGGTTTTTAAAAAACAAACAGATCACCTATGATTTGTTTCATTCTGAAGAGAAACCACATTTCATTTAGCAATAATTTCTCTCATTGTATTGGACAGATAGTCCAAAAAAGCAATATTTCAACTGAAATCAGTTCTGAAGGATCATTTATGAATATACATGGCAGAAAGGACCTCAATTAAATTTCCAGCCAAGTCCTGCTATTTGGGGTAAACAAAGTTATCTCAGAAGGATCGCACACTGAGCTAGGAGAACGGCTTGGAAATTAATTACCATCCCGACATATGTCAAAACAAATTTTAAAGAGACTAGCATCCACTTGTAACCATGTGTTTTATCTGTTAGTATGCAAAATCTGTATTCTTTGGCATCTAAATTTATTCATTTATTCAGAACCCCTCAGAGAAATCAAAAAGGCTTGTTGCCCTCTTTTGCCTGCCTCCAGATGAAATCTGAGGGAATAACATGTGTTTAGTGAGCCAGAAAATAAGTACAGGATGAAGCTATCGTGGGGGTTAGGTTTCAGAAAAGCAAGTATCATCCTCACACAAATAACTAATTTTTGAAACACTTGGAATGGCTAAAATAAACTCTGGCATTAACATTTGTTGGTACTTAGAGCAACACTATATTCAAGGTTTTTTTGTTTTGTTTTTTTACTTTATGTATTAAGGTTTACACAATCTGTATATCTTTAACCCTGAAAACAGATTTGGGCATGAAGAAAAGTCCTTTAAAGCAATGAATTCTGCTGAAAGCAGACATTCAAATACTAATTAGTTAGCATTATGGTAATATAAATAATGAGTTTCTCTTTTCTAATGGTAAAAATTAGGGCTGTCACGCGATTAAAAAAATTAATCGCACTGTTAAACAAGAAGAAGAATACTATCGATTTAAATATTTTTGGATGTTTTCTACATCTTCAAATACATTGATTTCAATTTCAACACAGAATACGAAGTGTATAAGTGCTGATCCTGGGCTTCGCCTGGTGCTGCCCTGGCAGTGTTTTGAAGGGGCAGCATTCCACATACAAAATGCCTGCAATTAAGGCATGTTAATTTTTTTTATGTATTAATTCTGCTCAGTTTATCGCAGATGTTAACATGCATTAATTGATAGCCCTAATAAAAATCTACTCTGAGTTTATAAAAAAAAAAGGCTAAGATTCACTCCTGATTATTCAGCTAAGTGACATTTAAGACCAAAGTCCAATTGCTATAGCTAACTAAACACTGTAGGTGAAGCACAATTCTGAACAACATTTAAACTATTATTTTCAGAGGAAACCAATCCTGTTTCCTTCTCTAAAATGTTCACAATGCAATATCTACTTTTGCAAATAACAAACCTGCTGAAGGAGTTTAAATCCATATCACCAGTTACAATCTGAGCAAAGGTGTTACGTTTAAATGTACAACTCAAGGAAGTTCTAAGACTAGAGTTACAACGTAATTGTTGGGAATCCTCCAAATAATATTATGGAGAGGGAATTCATATTCATCTTGCAATCTGCAAATGAAAACTATAGGCAAGTCACAAACAGAGCAAATTCACAGAAAAAAAAATCACTACAATATAAACAATCTGATTGATCGTACAATCAGATTCCTGGGACAAATCTCTACTCCCATGCAGAACCCCACAGACTTCAGCAGAGCTTCTCAAAGAATCCAATTACAGGATTTGGGCCAAAACTTCAACTAGTACCCAAAGAGAGCGACAATACTGACATTGCCTGCTGGGCCTGATCTTGCTCCCAATTAAATCAGAGGGAACAGACTGGGCCCACAAAATTCAACAGCAGGAGTTTTTATTCCTTTCAAAAAAAGTCCCCCTCTTTGACCAAGTATAGCAACATCATGTTAAAGAAAGTACAAATCCTGAGATTGACCAATATTTTTAACCTTTCAAAAATATTTTTAGCATAGCTGAGTAAAGTGATCTTTCAGTATTTATTGTTCCCTGTGACAGCATTCCTTGGACTTACGATCAAAGCAAGCAGCATTACATCTGTAGGTCTCGCTGTGAAAGGCTGTATGTATTTCTTATACGGAAACAAGGACTAAAAGCAAGAGAGCGCCACCTAGGGTGTACACACTTACTGGATGCACATCACAAAACAAACAATTTCACCAATACTTTCATAATTGATCCATTTCCATTTGATTACATCCACACAGCATCAAAACTAAGAGGATCGAGGCACAGATTAGCAGCCACCTACATATCATAGATGCTTGTCCTTGTTTTATCTAAGCTCACGTTACATACGTACATGTTAACACTAGTTAACTTAGAATTAAATCTTTTTACTGAAAACTTGCAGAACCTTTCGCTTTGCGCAGTTGTACCACGATTTCTTTTTCCCCCAACAAGACAGACTACAGTGCAACAGAACAATTACAAAACAGAAAGCAAATACTTTACCTCTCTTAATACCGTGCTTTTATAACCTCGATAAAGTCCTTGAATACCCTGTAAAGCAACAAATGAAAGCTTCAGCTATAGGGACTTCCATTAGCAGACACTACAATTTACTGATGATTAATTACATGGCAGGCATACCAGCCTGAGAGCAAGACCTGAACTTCCAATGAATTGACCATATTGATTATAGCACTGTACACTATCTTCCCAGGTTTACCACCTGGGGGTTTTATCTCCCTTTCAAAGCATGTTTAACGAGTGCTAAGAAGAATCAGATACCCATACACCTGGAGTAGAACACTACAATTTACTGATGATTAATTACATGGCAGGCATACCAGCCTGAGAGCAAGACCTGAACTTCCAATGAATTGACCATATTGATTATAGCACTGTACACTATCTTCCCAGGTTTACCACCTGGGGGTTTTATCTCCCTTTCAAAGCATGTTTAACGAGTGCTAAGAAGAATCAGATACCCATACACCTGGAGTAGAA